ATTTGTTTCTCACACACACACACACACACACACACACACACACACACACTCAGACAAAGCTTTTTCTTCCTGAATAGTTTGTAAATGCTTCCAGAGCTTGAGGACTACGGAAGCGCGCTACAATAAATATAGCCATCAAAATTCAGGTTCAATTATAATATACAAATATTATACAACGGAAACAAAATGAATCCCCATGCTGCTCATCAGTGCACCGTGAACTGTACACCATCCTTTGCTCTGTGAGAGAAACATATCAGGAAAGCAAATATCCAGTGTTGGATGAGGGACTAAAGAACATGTAGTGCCTGATATTAAAACCATGGGGTCATGACCGCACATTGGGTCGTCTGAGATAACGGAACCAACCGTTAATTATAATGTACTTTTGTGCATATAAATTTGATTTATGGAATATTTAATACGAATAATATTAATACAATTTATTTAATAATAATTAAAACTGTCATACATCCAACATTCTGTCCACCAATGTTCTGTACTGTTTATCCTACACAGGGCTGCAGGGAGCCTGGAGCCTATCCCAGGGAACTCAAAAGAGGGGCACACCCTGGACGGGGTGCCAACCCATCGCAGAGCATAATCGCACACACACTCACACACTACGGACAATTTAGAGATGCCAATCAGCCAACAACGTATGTCTTTGAACTGCGGGATGAAACCAGGGTAACTAGAGGAAACCCCCGAAGCACAAGGAGAGCATGCAAACTCCACGCACACAGGGCGGCAGTGCCAACATGCTGTCGTGTTAATCAAAGTGATTTTTTTTTTACACTGGACACAGGGAGCGTGCAGAGCTACTATTAAAAATAGAAAATAAGTGCATTTTTGTGTGGCGTGGTGGTGGTTTCAAGCAAAAAATACAATATTAATGCTAGATTCATGCGGTGTAGACATCTGCCCCAGAGTGCAGAAGTGAAAATCTCACTGGATTAATGAAATTTATGTGATCATACAGTAGACAGTGATAATGTATACATTTATAATATTTATACATAATTTTCTGTACAGCATATCCAATATGGAGTGGCAGGGGAGTCGGGGGACAAAGTGGGGACCCATGGGAAAACATGCAAGCTCCACAGACACAGGGCGGAGGCGGAAATGTTGCCGTGTGCTATGCCCAGATATCACAGAAAGGCTTTATGCTCATTAAAATATTACATGAAAGCAATATGTGAATCCGACACAGGATTTGATATCCTAGGGTTCGACACTGGTGGCTCAGTGGGTAAACACTCTGGCTTACTGATTAGAAGATCAGAGGTTCAAGCCGCAGCACCATCAAGCGACAACTATTTGGCTGTTACGAAAGGCCCTTAACCCTTGCTACTCCAGGGCCAAAGAAAAGAATTTCATTGTACTATAATGCATGTGTGTCAAATAAAGGCTTTATTTGTCTTTTGTGTCTGCATCACATCAATGTTGTGATCTAGACTGACTGTAACAGTGAAGAAGAGATGCACACTTTCGACACTGACTTTAATGAGCAGCAGTGTGTCTCTTTAGCCGAGGTGAGTGCACAGTGCCTGCATGTGTAAATATAAACCATGTTTTTCCATGTTATACTGAAGTGATATTAATGTGTTTAACGTGTTTTTTAGATCGATTGTGAAGTTCAAATTTAGTCTTTAAATAAGCAAGTCACCCATCACACATTGTTCTTATAACTAGTAATACTGTGATGGTTTAAAGTAATAAATAACATAGGGTTAATAAGCCGTATGGGTTGGAAATGTAAAGAAGGACAGAAAAAATAAGTAAGTCAGAGACTGTAGTGATCAAAAGTGAGGGTGGGAGTAGAAATTAGGATACAAGAATACAATAACAATATTGATTACAGTATACCTTTCTGAGATATTGTGGATACTGAAAGAATTTTTTTTACAATTACACTGAAAACAGATGGCATCTTGTTCAAATTTTGTACTGAAGAAAAAAATATATATACTTAAGTGAATAAAACTATTTATTTTCCCTCATTCTCAGTGTGAAATAATAACTTTTTCCAGACAGTAAATAAAAGCATAATTGTTGTTGCCAGTTTGCCAACAATCCTATGCATTGTGAAGCATATTGTATACAAGACAAATGTCCAGCCATCTATTTACATATATATTTATTCACTTGGCAGACGCTTTTATCCAAAGCGACTTACAAATAAGCAAAGCGATATATCAAGCAGGGAACAAATACAAGTAGTGCTACTATACAAGATCCATTAATTGAATACCAGAGGAAGCACAGGAAGTGCACAGAGTAGAGGTGTAAGCGCGTTGTGGTTTTTGTTGTTTTTTTTTTTTTTCCCTTCTATGAGTTGGTTAGGTGTTCACGGAAGAGGTGGGTCTTTAGCTGTTTTTTGAAGATAGTGAGAGATTCTGCAGTCCGGAATCAGAGTGGAAGTGCATTCCACCACTGGGGAACGGTAAGCGTGAAGGTTCTGGAAAGGGACCTTATGCCATGCTGAGTGGGAACTACTAAACCTCGGTCGCTAGTCGATCGCAGATTGCGAGAGGGAACGTAGGCCTTCAGGAGAGAGATGAGGTAGGAGGGTGCTGTTCCTGACAAGGTCTAGTAGGTGAGCATCAAGGCCTTGAACTTGATATGGGCAGCTACAGGAAGCCAGTGGAGGGAGATGAAGATGGGTGTGACATGGGTTCTCTTGGGCTGGTTGAAGACGAGGCGCGCTGCAGCATTCTGAATCATCTGAAGGGGTTTGGTGGAGCTGGCTGGGAGGCCTGAAAGCAGTGAGTTGCAGTAGTCCAGTTTAGAGATAACAAGAGCCTGGACTAGTATCTGTGTAGCCTGTTTGCTGAGGAATGGTCGTATTTTCTTGATGTTGTACAAGATGAACCTACAGGACCTTGCAGTTGCTGAGATATCTGGTCAAGCCATCATCAAGAATCACCCCAAGGTTTCTGGCCGTCCTGGTTGGCATGAGTGTAAGTGAGCTGAGCTGTACAGTGAGGTTCTGGTTGATTGAGGGATAGGCTGGGATGACGAGAAGCTCAGATTTTCCCAGGTTAAGATTAAGATGGTGTTCCTTCATCCAGACCGAGATGTCCGACAGGCAAGCAGAGATGCGTGCAGAGACGGCTGGATCGTCAGGCTGGAAGGACAAATAGAGCTGGGTGTCATCAGCATAGTAGTGATAGGAGAAGCCATGAGACTCAATCACCTGCCCGAGAGATGTAGTGTAGATAGAAAAGAGGAGTGGACCCAGAACTGACCCCTGTGGAACGCCAGTTGTGAGTTGCTGAGTTTCAGAAATACCTCCGCTCCATGATACCTTGCATCTTGTACTGCACATGTGTCAAATTCAAGTGCTAGTGCTTAATTGGTCTTTAAAAAAAGGTTGTCTTAAAATAGGTCTATGTTGCTTTAAATCGTGCATTGACCATAAACTACATTTCCCACGATGCATGGCGATTATGTTACCCGCGAAGTGACGGGATCCCGCCACTACATCGCAGTGTCCACATTAGTGATTAATAATGCAACAAGTGAGATTGAGCAGACTGAGAATTATCCACAAATTATCCCACAATGTCACGGAAACGAAAGATTGATGCAGATGGAAGGCTGTTTCATGAAAGATGGGAAGGTGAATATATGTTTGTGCTTCAAGGAGAAAAACCGGTTTGTCTTGTGTGTTATGAGGCGGTGTCGGTCGTCAAAGAGTACAATCTATGTCGGCATTTTAACACCAAACACGGAGCCAAGTATGCTAAATTTAGCCTTCAAGAAAAACAACAAATTGCCAAAGAATTAAAAGGCAAACTGCGATCGCAACAGAATGTGTTCACAAAAGCCACCACCAAAAACAATGCGGCAGTGAAAGTTAGCTTTATTGTGGCTGAAGAAATCGCCTACGTTTCAAAGTCTTTTTCAGAGGATGCCTTTTTGAAGCAGTGCATGCTGAAGGTGTGTGTGCAGGTGTGTGAGCAGGTGTGTCCTGACCAGATACAGAATTTTCAAAATGTCAGTTTGTCAAGAAACACCATCGTGGACCGAGTCAAGGAGCTAGCAGGAAACCTGTCAACACAGCTGGCCGAAGAGTCACACAGTTACACAGCTTTTTCATTATATGTTGATGAAAGCACAGACAACACGGACACTGCACAGCTATCCATTTTTATTAGAGGCGTGAAGTCGGACCTCTCTGTCACCGAGGAGCTCTTGGATGTAGCTGCCATGCATGGGACCACAACGGGACGGGTTATTTATGAAGCGGTGGAGGAGTCAGTAAGTAAAACTGGATTGCCCTGGGAAAAGTTGGTGGGATTAACTACAGATGGTTCGCCGGTGATGTGTGGAGGAAAAACGGGCTTGGTTGGATTAATGAAGGAGAAAATGAAAAACAGTAACTGTCACACGCCTCTGATAGCAAAAATGTTTTAAACAAAGTTAATGTCATAACTTGTGTTTTGATCATATTTTTCTTTATTTACTTGAATAGTTTGATTGTTGATCAATGGAGTAATGTGGGTTTCTTAACCTGAAAATTTAAAGGATTATTGTTATAGTAACAGAGCAACAAGCTATGCAAATGCATATGTAATATTTTTAACTTCAATAAGTAATAAATACAGAAAGTTATTTAACAATATGTTACGGAGTAGTTACATTTATTATACATTATATTTGGTTACATTTATACTGTTTTACAGTTACATCTGGCCCTTTCAGGGGAACCATTATGCTAATGTGGCCCTCGGTGAAAATTAGTTTGACACCCTTGTTCTACTGCTTATTCATTCTTCAGGGTTACGGGGAACCTGAAGCCTATCTCAGGAATCATCGAGCACAAGGCAGGGTACACCCTGGACATCAGTCCACCCAGGACATGCCAGTCCATCGCAGGGCACAATCACACACACTCACACACCCATTCATACACTACAGAAACTTTCAGGCACGCCAATCAGCCTTACCTTACCATGCATGTCCTTGGACTGGGGGAGGAAACCGGAGCAGCACACCGGCGGGAATCGAACCCCAGACCCCAGAAGTGTGAGGCGAAAGTGCTAACCAATAAGCCACCGTGCGCCCCAATACAAATGTTTCCACATCACCCGAACCCACCCCCAGCCGAAATGTCTGTTGCATCTTAACACATGTGCAACACCACAGCACACGTATTCTCAATTCAATTCAATTCAATTTTATTTCACCACAGCACACGTATTCTTAATTCAATTCAATTCAATTCAATTTTATTTCACCACAGCACACGTATTCTTAATTCAATTCAATTCAATTCAATTTTATTTCACCACAGCACACGTATTCTCAATTCAATTCAATTTTATTTCACCACAGCACACGTATTCTTAATTCAATTCAATTCAATTCAATTTTATTTCACCATAGCACACGTATTCTTAATTCAATTCAATTCAATTCAATTTTATTTCACCACAGCACACGTATTCTCAATTCAATTCAATTTTATTTCACCACAGCACACGTATTCTCAATTCAATTCAATTTTATTTCACCACAGCACACGTATTCTCAATTCAATTCAATTTTATTTGTATAGCGCTTTTTTTTCTGTATAGCTTTACAGAAATATCAACACGGTATACAGATATGAAAGGTGCGAATTTATCCCAAGTGAGCAAGCCACTGAGTGGCGATGGTGGCAAAGAAAAACTAAGATCCCTAAGATCATTACACCACAGCACACATCACACGTGTTCATTACGGCTCCTCCTGGTTCTTGCTATTATTAGGCTGTAAATTAGCAGTGACCCTTACAGTAAAACACAGCACAAAAACAAGGTGGAACAATGACAGCCAGTATTGTGTTTCAAGCCAGGAAAAAAATTAAAACAAATACAGTGACAGGGCCATTCAGAGATAATCAGAGATAATGGGACAGAAATGATGGCTCTGTATTAATTAAGAGGTAGGATAGAGCTCATTGTGAGAAGTCAAAATGTAGTTTAGGGCAAAAACATCCAGAGTGCTTCTAACAGGGTTTTTGCATAAATTAACATAAGCATCCATTTGTCCCTGTTAAAATTTACTTTAAGCCAAAATGATTTCCTTTCATAACACAAAATATAGAGCATTATCCTGCTGAAAGAGGCCATTAGAGAATACCGTTGCCATGAAGAGGTGTACTTGGTCTGCAACAATGTTTAGGTGGGGGGTATGTGTTAAAGTAACACCCTCATGAATGCCAGGACCCAAGGTTTCCAAGCAGAATATTGCACAGAGCATCACACTGCCTCTGCCAGCTTGCCTTCTTCCCATAGTGCATCCTGGTGACATCTATTCCCTAGGTAAGCGACACACACACATCCAGCCGTCCACATGAAGCGTGGACAGCCTTATACGCAGCAAGCTGTGATGCAATGCGTGTTCTGACACCTTTCTATCATAGCCAGTATTAACATTTATTACAGGCTAGCCTTCACTCCCCACGCGCATCAATGAGCCTTGGGTGACCATGACCCTGTCGCTGGTCACTGGTTGTCCTTCAATGGACCACTTTTGGTAGGTACTAACCACTGCAAACGAGGAACACCCCACATGACCTGACGTTTTGGACATGCTTTTGATTAACTTTCTATAACAGCAGCACTGACAGTAGTGCCAGTATATATTAATGTGTTCATTCGAATATGTAATTGTTTCTGTAGTAACCACTTACACCGGGACTTAGATAAAACAAAAGAATAAAAAGTGTATAATCGTTGATACAGTAAAGTTTTCAGTGAGATGTTTATCTAGCATTATTTAGTCCGCACTTTGTAACAGTCAGAGCTGAAGCTGTAAAAGCTGCATTTTTGTCTTAGGGTTAGGGAAATGGAAAAAGGGAATCTGGTGAGGGAAGGACTGCATATCTTCTATAACATATCTGATAACAGGAACTAACTTGTTTTTTGGATGTTCCGCAACATTAAATGTAACTATCAAGCAATAAGAAGCACAATATTTTGGTTTTCTTTAATAAATAAAAATCGCAACTTTTGCCAAATTGCTATGGCACAAGGAACATAAAAACACTTCTCGATGTCCTGTTATTGAAAAAAATAATACATTTTAGGGTGGTACCCATTACACAGCTGCGAGTTGCGCCACATCACACCTGTCCATCAATAATGTGCTCCACCCTGTGCACTTTCTTACTTGAGTACTTAAATGTATGTCAGAATTGGCAGCTTTACTTAGAAACAAATCTGATTTTCCCCATCACTCTCTCACTAATGGTGAGAATATTTCGTTACGATGCCAAGGATTAGAATCAGTCTACATCAGAAACATAATACTGAATGTGTGACAGCGTTAACAATTACATGATATATAGTTAGACCTGAGCTTCAAATCGATGTAAGCAAATAACCAAATAAATTGCAAAGGCTGCTCCTAAAATCAATACTGCACACAATCAGTGCCTGAAAACGCAGTGCAAGGTTTTTTTGGTTTTTTTTTTCTACACTGTTTCATGATCTCAATAAAGCATGGGGCCAAAACACAGATCAATGCTAAATTATAGTAACGTTAAAACTTTAGAAAACTTCAGAAAAACTAATGCTTTGTTTAATATTAATAAATTATACTTTGCTTAATATTAATAATAAAATAGAACATTGTGTAATATTCTTGTACTATAGATAATATATCAAAAATATGTCTAAGAAAATAGCTATGACATGTAATCAATATGTATAACTCACTTCTGGATATGTTAATGAAGTGTATTCAATATGTAGCCTACATTTAGAAGTATTACTTAAAGCATATTCAAATAACTGTATAATCCATAGTTGGAAGCATAATCTAAACTCATTGAACGATGGTTGGTCAAGTTATATTCTGAGTGTTGAGTAGAAGAATTGTGTGCCTTACTAAACAGTGGGCCTAATTGCTTTCTGTGGCAAATCTAAAGCTACAGGACACTTCCAAAATGTGTGTTCTCCTAGGTGGGTAAAGTAAGAGCCTTTGTTTGTCTAAACTCAGCTTCACTTCTAGGTGTGTAGATTAGGTGCTATGGGGATGTCTAAAGCAGATTCACTCTGTAGAAGTAAATTAAGAGCTTGTGTTTGTCTAAACGCAACTTCACTTTGTGGCAGTAAATTAGACACATTCCAGAGTTGGGTTTCTGAAATGGGCCCCCCTTGTGTTTGCAAATCAGTAACATAAAAAGAGATAAGAGTTCAAGGGAAGGGTACCAATATGAGGCTATGGGATCAATTATGTGACATGATGGTGAACCCAGTTCTGGTAAGAACTTTGAAGAACATACAACTGGCTGCGCATGCGCCACAATGGTGGGGTATCATATAGATATGAATAATTCGTTAAGGCATGGGAGATTGGTCGGTTCTAAAAAGAAACGGTGAATGCCACACCTAGGAATTATGTTTACTGTTTTTGGGAAGTATATAAAGACATGTTCATGTATGTACAAATTGGACTCTCTGCAGACAGTCACCTTTGTTGGTTTCCAATAAAGTTTATTACTTTTGACATCTACTAAACTCTCTGTCTTAGAAGTTTTTTTTTACTTAGGCTAGAAAGGTTGATTTTATCCACAACAGTACATACTGTCCATGAGAGCTTTCATGTGCTGAACAATTGTACTGAATTAAATGCACTATTAAATGTGATCATTGAAATGTTCAGAACATTCCAAATTGACATCTAGATTGAATGACTGAGTGAACTATCATTGACCTTGAATGAATTGCTGCTCTATATGCTGTCCATTTCTGACCTCTATTAAGTAGATTCTGGGGATCTGAAAATTACTGTAATCTAAATTTGTACACTTTTATTCTGTCCATTTTAATAGAACTAGAAAAATAATTGCCCTAGTCCAATTATGCATGTGAACGAACGTCAAGTTATAGCAGTATGTAAAAGCTTAAAAGCCCTAATTTAGCTGCTTGCAAGGCTTTCGGCATTTAATACTGTTCGATAATAATGTCTGGTATAGTGGAATTAGTACATGTTGAGAGAGCAAGAAAGAGACAGCTGAAGCATTACAACTTCAATGTAATTATTTTTTTGGCAGTGGACATGATGCTATATTAAGTGAGATGGGTCATACTTGGTAATTTGACTTTTTTCTTTTTCTTTCAAACTTCACAAAAGCTCTAAAGCATTTCTTTACATGCTGGATCAAAAAAGGGGAAACATCAAAAGAAATTGGAAAATGTTTAGTCACACAAAGTTTGTCTGTCTGATGTCATGCTGCAAATTTGTAATGTATTTGAAACATGAAAATTAGTGCATGAGTTTTTAAGATTAGTCTGCATTGTGCTCAAGAGGTTAAATGACAACATACAATGGGGGAAATAAGTATGGAATGCATCAACATTTTTTTCAGTCAATATATTTCCAATGAGGCTATTCACTTGACATTTTCTGTATTAACTCAAGAAATCTGGAAATATAAAGAATTCAAAACATTAAAGTCCATAAATAAAGTTAATTGTAATAAAGTGGAATGATACAGGAAAAAAAAGTATTTAACACGCTAAGAAAAAGCAGTTCTCCAAGGCAAGGTAAGGTAAGGTACTAGCTGAAATCCATAAGTAGTTATACCCCCTATCTGTACAAATTAATATCAGCTGAGTTAGTAAATTGATAGTCTATAAAAAAAGGCTGTTCGTTAACAAGGTGTCACACAAGAAACATCTCATGATGGGTAAAAGCAAAGAGTTCTCCCAAGACCTTCACAACCTTATTGTTGCAAAACATATTGATGGAATCTGATACAAACGTATTTAAAAACTTCTGAATCCTCCAGTAAGCATAATAGGGCCCATTATCCGCAATTGGAAGCAACATCACTCCGTCATCAACTGGCCACGCACAGGAGCTCCTCACAAGTTTTCTGACCAGGAAGTCAGAAGAGTCAGAAGAGTAGCCCAAGAGCCAAGGACCACTTGGAAAGCGCGCCAGCAACACTTGGAGGCAGCAGGTGCCATCGTCACAGAGAAAACAATAGGCAATGCCTCCACTTCTCACGCTCTCACCACAAGACTCCATTACTAAAGAAAAGGCATGTCGAAGCTTGTTTAAAGTTT